AGTGAAAACCTTCACAGTCGTGATATCACCATGATTTAACAGCCTCTTACAAAGTGTTTTATAAACGCTGCGAGACGAAACCATGTCATTTATTCATGAGGCAACAACTAGAACCGCCACTGTCTTAAACTGGAAGTAGGCATTGCTGGCTAAAGTAGATATGAAGTATCAAGATGCTTGGAACCCATCGGGCATGAACCTCTCCTCTAATATCTGCCACCCTTTGTGTCCGAGAAGTGTGGGGACCAGGCAATTTCCTTGGTTTTTTAGATGTTCAGTTTGCCCGGAAGACACCGTGATTAGGGACAAGTTTATTTCATGAGTCTGGATGCGAAATTCGAGATCGTTGATCAAAGAGCACATTCAGTTTATATTTTGTTTTTGACAAATTCCTTCATGATTATTCAGACAAAAACTAATTCTGTATAGTATATAGTTTAATAATATATATTACACATTATTAACACAAAGTTAAGAGTTAGATCTGCAGGTAGTTGAAACAATCTGAAATATGAAGACAAAAGAAATGCTCGGAAATGTTTTCAAATATTCCAAGAAATGTCAGACATTCTACATGAAATATACCGTTAAAAGCAACACCGATTTCATCAAGAGCGAAACATATAGTGGGAGTCAAACCCTTGAAATGATTCATCAGGGCGACCGTGAAGAAAGTCGATATTTACCACACACCTATACAAATTGACTGAATGAACTGTCAACACCAATGCCCACGGATGGAATCTTTTAGAAACTCAGCGTTGCCCGTGTCTGCTGTGTCAGCTCGCAGGCCGTGGTTAATACAACAGAACGTCCTCAAGGAATTGCAGATCTGCGATGTCGTCATGCGTTCATCTCAGAATGGTTGGAGTGATGCTTACCAGGGACCCGTTTCACAAAGCTATCGTAGGGCTACGACTGTCGCACCTCCTACACTGTATCACAGACAGTCGTAGCCCTACGATAGTTTTGTGAAACGGGGCCAAGGTCTGATGGTTAGATTTTTGGCTTTTACGCAGCTCTGAACAGCATTTCAGTTATGTCGTCGGTTTTAATCACAGATTCGCCTTCATTATGAACCAATGACCTCCATATTCAACAAGTGTTACGACAAGCAAGATCAAACGGATGTTAAAATATGTATGTTATATTTCTGTGTTTTGTATGATATAAGGTGGAATAGTGGCCCACTTTGACTTGCAGAGTTGCGTTTGTTTTGGCACTTCAGAAATCTGTTCCTCACTCCTAGTCTTAGCATCCTTCGACGGACCAAGCGAATGGAGAGTCTGAGCTACAATTTCCCTCGACAAAGCGGAACGGCCATAATTAGTAGGCAACTGCAGGAGGGTCTACTGACGCCAGAACGCAATTACGACAGGTCCGAGACTCGGTTCGTCTCGACTATGTTTGCCAGCACCATACCCATCCTGGTAGGTTTCACTAAAGTTTGCTAAACCTTTAGATGCTTAAGACTCACATAAGTTGAATTCCTCCACTATTATATATGTAATATATAATATACTTACTGTTCAAGATGGCGTAAAACACAACTCACCCTGTCACCATATGTCTAAACATGCACCCGCCCACTCACCATGCCTGCTCCATGCTCCAAGGTTACACTGAGACCAATACCGTCTCCCCTACACCCACGCCCCCGAAAGGGGAGCTTGTCAGGTAATTATTATCTTAATCTGATAACATAGTACCGTTTGTAAAACTAGTTCTTGTAACATGTATTTACGTAAATTTCAACTGCCAAAAAAGCGGGATTTCTTTGCTCGAACACGGATTTTTTCAAAATCAATATCCATGCACTGATTAGTTCTGATTTAAACACCTTGACGAGTAACCGTATGAGTTATTGAATTAGTGCCCACGCTTGGAAAATCTTTGACCTTTGTGCTATTAAGTAAAGAGAAAGCTGTCAATTAAAATCAGAATTGCTTGAAGGGCGATATCGTCATTGAAAAGTATAATTCTGATTTATTTTCCGAAATCAGAATTGCTCTCTGTCGTCAAGAGCACGATTCTAATAGTTATCGTATAGCGATGGACAGAAGTTATGATCGATGTCACAGATTTGTTTTAATTTCATTTAAATTGAACCGATGCTCGCAATTACACAAATGTAGGAATTAAAAAAAATATATAAATCAATACGCTATCAAATAATTGCATGATAATTTCCACTTGGTGCCGGAGCAAATTTGATCATGCTGTCTTAGGCGTCGCAGTTAGCTGCGAAATTCGCATCCTCGACAGTGCACTCCAGAAACCTATGTTTACAGGTCCGAATCCCGGATCGGCCTGATGTCTCTAAGTTTTGTCAGCACGATCCCCTCAGGTTTCTCCAAAATGGTAACGGTCGGACGTGCGTTACTCCGGGCTTTCCTCCCCCACTAAACATACACGCCGTGATGTAACTGTACTTCTGTTCATGGCGCCATTCAACCCATTGCATTTACAATGCATAACAGCGCAACTAACTGTAACAGGGACTGAACGGAAAATATTGCCCTGGGTACCGAGGATGAGTCCCTCAAACTTAACCGAAGTTAAATTCCATATCTATATTCAGTTATTAAAAGACAAATTAATTTACAAAGTATCCCCATGTCACCAGCACAATATAACGGTTAATACCACTGCCAAGAATGAGTGTCCCAAATCAGTTGCAATTCCTTTTGATTTGACCGAGAAATGGAAAACAGATACGTGAAAGGAATCCTGGGGGTGAGTTGTGTTTCATTCAATTTTCTAAGAGAACCATGATGTACCGTGTCAAATGTACGCTTGTTAACAATAACCGCATGCTGAGTCTCAGCATTGACGGGAACTGGGAACATTTCCCCTGCTGTTCCAATCAAAATATATTTGTAATCCGACCGAAAACGCTTTCATGCCTGTTCTCTGTGCAATAAAGCAGCACATTATCAATAGAGTTAAAAGATTGTGATTTGCAGTTTTGTGCTGACAAAATGCTGGATGTAAACAGATGTATTAAACGAGTGAGTAAGTACGGTTTTACGCGGGTTTCAGCAATAAATCCGCATTATCAAGGCGGGTTACACTAAAAGTTGTCTTCACACATTGTGCCCATATGGGGAAATGAAAGCAGACCCTCGTCATGACGAGCCGACGCTTTAACCACTAGGCTACCCCATCGCCCCTTCATTAGATAAAACCCAGATGTTTCCTAAAATATGTATCTTGGTTTGTTTGTATCCCTCACTTTGCCACAAGAAAAGAAAGATTCAATGCAGTCATACGAAAATTCATAAACGAAGTGAAAAATACGATGACACCAGGTCCTTGGCAACGTCATAGGCAACGTCATCGACGACGTGGTTGATGACGTGCCGTGGTGATCGGCACTGTGTTAATTGGGAAATACTCTATGTCTTGTCTCGTCACAGACGATGACGTGATCGATGACGTCACATTAATTTAGAAATATTTACCGATAAAGAGTAATTGTATGAACCGCATTCATGAAAACCTGCAGACTTTCCTGTTTGCAGAATTTGTTACAACATTTTGACGATGGTGTGTCTGAAAGAGGCCTATATTAATGAACAAAATGCCTTTAAAGTTACGTTTGCACTCTGTGAAAGACTTACTAACAATGAAAATATATAGCGACATCCGGCAGTAAGTTGTGTCCTCTCTAAACTTGATGCCTTCGCCCGAAACGAGCTCAATATAAAGTTCTTTCAAAACTGTTGTGTATTGTGTTCCTAAAACCTTAGCTGGATATAACGTCGAAGAATATGTTCCCGTCTATGGCGTGATGGCATGAGCTGTCAGTCTGTATCAATAAACATATTAAACTATCGATACCATTCTCTCAATATTTAAGCAATCATTGGTTTAACCTCCTCAAACAATTTAATGTCTTCCGAATTGTTGTACACCCGAAGATGGCCCCAATTAAACAGTCCTTTTACCGCAATGACAAGGATGTATTAGTGGAATTGAAGGTGTCCCACGGGGGCCCAGCATGGTTGCAGTACCGAGCCGTTATCAACGCGGGCTCTCAGTCACAATGTGAACTGACACTCTCTATTGCCAGAACGTAGTCATAATGAAATAATATACCTTCGGACTCATATATAATTCACACACATTACGTCTGAGGAGTGACACGAGATGTGTGCTACCTCTCAACGTCACCCACGTCCATTACTAAGACACAATTCTCTTCCAGACGTTGTTGGTCATTGGTACTGTGTATGCCACTGAGAGTAACAAACATGGTCGTCTGAGTATACGTAAGAGCAATTCCATGTCCATCCAGATCATAGGTTAACAGAAAAACCAATACGACCAGAAGATGATATTTGTTTTCGGAAAGTATATATTATCAGAAGGGCCCTCCAGGAATGACCTCTGTCTGGTGGAAAGAGCGTCTGTCCTGAGAGCGGAAGGTGAGCTCTGCCATCCCCTGACGCGTGAAACCAAAATACGTTGAAAGATGGTACTTGTCAGGCGTACGGCATTAAAGGAATAAAAGAAGAACTTTCTGTTCGGTGTCAGTAAACTGTGTCTGAGTGGGGTGTCCGTATCAAACAAAGGCATGTTTTCTTAATGGGATAATAAAACAAGCATTAGTCCTGACTAGTACAGGTTCACATTCACACATCCACCAACACCATTACCACCACCCCCTCCCACTCCGCCATCTCAAAAATACACACGCAAATACACACGCACGCGCCCACGCACACGCACAACCATAGCATTGTGTAGGCAGAATTAGTCCAAACTAGGATAGACTGCCTCACACATATACTCCCCATCAAAAGTTTAGACTCACTAGTGTAGCCACTTACTTCAGTCAACTGTTCTGAACTAGATTTTGTAAAATAACCCATACAGTTTAAAGGAACTGTTTATCCATGAGCTGATGTATTGTAAAATAAATTCGTGACGTTGAAAAGTTTATTGTCATGTGTTCAATATAATGATGAAACTCTGTGAAAAATGGCGATTTTTTTTTTATCAAAACTTTACACCAAACGCAGCTGTTCACATGCACGATATTTGCACATGCTTTTCAGCAATTTGATGCATGGCCCTCGTGCAATTAATCTGCATAAGGTTTGCAGATGTTTCCCCCTATAACATATAGTGATTGATTTAAATAAGTCTAAACTTTTGATGGGTATATGTACGTGACTTTGGGGTAGCCAAATGGTGAAAAAAGATCGCTCGTTACACCAAAGATGTGGTTCGATTCCCCGAGTAGGTTCTATGTGTAAAGGCCATTTCTGCTGTCGTCCGAAGTGATATTGCTGGAATATTGCTACAGGTGGCCTAAAGCCATACTCACTACTACTGGACATGTGATGAAGCACTATGGTGTTCTGTACTGGGTCAGTTCTTCTCTTCTACCAGCGTGTTATGAAACATATTCAAACACTTACACCACATGGACGTGTTAGTTCAAATACTTGACGACGTTAAACCCAATTTCCCCTCACAGTCTCAGAACCCATGGATCGTGGTAATCAGGATCGGGACACTGGGACAGGTACCATCCTGATTAGCGTTGCTGCAATATTCTGAGATACCACGTGATTCTGTCTGTATAAACATTGCGCATAGTGATGATTTATGGGTTTACAACATATTTGCCACACTAATGCCTCCTCGTGTCAATCGTGAAAATCCGGGTTAGAATTGATCTTCAGCAACCAATGCTTGTCGAATGAGGGGACTAACGGGATCGGTGGATCAGGCTTGCTGACTTAGTTGACACATGTTATCGGTTCCCAAATGCGTAGATCGGTGCTCATGATGTTGATCACTGGATTGTCTGGTCCAGACTCGATTATTTACAGACCGCCGCCATATAGCTGGAATATTGCTCACTCATTCACTTTCTTATGGTTACTCAAATGTCCATATATCTTGCGGCGTAAAACTAAACTCACTCACCCATTCTGTCGCCATTACCACGAACAATTTAAACTAGTGGCATACTGCCACGTTTGTGTAGGATGTCATATTGGGTCATAGTGGCGTCATAGTGGCGTCATACTGGTGTCAGACTTTGTCATACTGTACCATACTATGTCATATTTGACTAATACTCATATATCATAACTCACCGCAGACCAGTGTTTGCAATACTTTAATTTGCCAGTTGGCCATCAGGGCCTGCTGGCGCCTGCAGGCTTTAAAATCTACATGCCCTGAATGAAATCTGCTGGCCCATTTTGTTAAAGCCAAACCAATAGAAACAAAATAGACTACACTGTACACAGTTTCACACCGTTTCTACAAAATCAATTAGCGAAGCCTATGACGCAGAGAGACGATTTATTTGTTAAAGACTGGTGTTGACATTCCCATGCGCTTTATTTTAGCGCTGAAATACCAGGGCGTGAAACTGTAAGCTATCGTAACATGATGGATCATGGATGGTTCCCAAACGTTCATAAGGAAAACAAGGGAAAGATTCCAGTAAAAAAAGAGAGAGATAATTTACTGAAGGCCACAAGAACCTGCAAATATTTAATAACAACCGGCGCTGGGCCTCCGGGCCGGCGATTATTTCGAAGGCTGCCTCAGATCGACAAAAATATCACAATATTATACAATTACATCACTAAAATAATTAACTTGACAGCGATGCACGAGCACAAAAAAACACGAACAACTTAAATGTTATTTACTTTATAGAAGTTGTTCATACCAGCAAATACAGATTCAAATACACCATAATAACACCGATACTTCCGCAAAAGGATACAAAATATGTGCTCAGCAAGCCTTACTATTACTCTGCACGTAACAGTAAATAAGGGAAGTCACGGAAACTGTAACAGATGTTTCACATCAGATCGTTCACATGACAAGAAAGGTTGGAAGTGCTTTTCCTCTGATGACGATACCAGATGGTGAACTGTTCAGAAGAGAGATGGATTTCAATGGATCTCATTCCACGTCCTTCAAGTAAAAGGCATCACTACAGAGACCCATATCACAGCCTACCCTTCTTGAACCGTCAAGATTCATCAATGTATTCAATATCCCCATGTGCTTACTATGTGCCAGAAACACAGCTTTTGACTGTAAGGTTCGTTCACCTTTCAAGTGGATTCAAAAGCCGAAATGTGGCCTGAACGGCACCGACAGCACTGAAAAGGAGAGACACGGCAAACTGCATTTTCCAAGGGCATTTGTACAAAAACCCTAAAGGTTAGTGAGAAATCCCTCGAGCAAGATTCCTTTAGTTGTGTGAGAGGTGTCACGTCGGAAACAGCCGTTAATCTCGTGGACAATCCGTCGTAAGACGGTAAGTGAGAATAGGCCCTCAATCACTTCAATGGAGAGCGCGGGTGTAAGAGCCTGGGATTTGGATTGGAGTGTTCTTGGGATTTCAACAAATCTGCATTTTTACCCTTCCACCGTGTAATATCGATTTAAATGCAAAAATGGGTGACGGGTTCTCACCTACTCATTGGAACGGGCATAACGATGTAGTCATCAAATTGAAGGTAGCATAGGGACAGAGATCTGGTAGGAATAGATCTTCCTTAGGAGCTTAATAAACAGCAATTACAGGTCATTGCATGCTATTCATTGTGGTAAACAATTTATTGCATTTAAATGGTCAAATAATTTAGACCAAGTTGTCTAATTCCTTCTACAACGTCACTTCATCTAGAGGCCAATATCATTAATGTTAAACGTATGCCACTATATAGTATATAGGCGATTTCGTACATCAACGCATACATGATTAATTCATATGCAATACTGTAGAATACTGATCTCGAGAAGTTGCGTCCAATTAAAGTTAAGCATGGGTGTAAGCGAAGAAGTGAAAGGTGGTGGATTTTACTGAGTGTAACTAGCCATTGGCATGCATTATCCTCATGTATAAGTTGTACAGAATGCAACCGAATATAGTCGGAATATTCAACTGTAACTTATCTACACCTACTTTAAGGTCAATTCAACATGCTCATCCCTATAATTACTTAGCCATTCGGAACGTGATAATACATAATGAACAATACCGGGTTAATCCACCAAAATCTCGTTACAATATAATTTTATACAGCTATATTTTGATTCCTATTGATTTCTTTACAACGTAATAATCTTTTATCGTCATGCCGAACAACGGATAACCCGATTCAAAGTAAAAAAATCTTCGAGATACCAATATTTCTCTGAAGGTATGGCAAGGTGCCATTTGTCCCATAAAAGTTTACTAAACCCATCACACTATCTCATTTAAGTGGTATGCAACATGAGGCTGGTACAATTTTTGACGAAAGGATGCTTTTCTCCAGTCCATTAAATGAACCTCTGGAAATTCCAAAAACCTTTCTGCATTGGTTAGAAGAGGATTCAATGGAACCATTCCGGTTGGTTTCTTTCTGTGGTGAGTACCATAAGGGAATCGAGAGAGACAAGGAGCAGGCACAGAGTACAAAGAAAATCTCTTTGGAGAATCATGTCTCATAGACCCTTGTGTCTTGTATTCCTGAGTCTCTAATTACCGTGTAATTATGGTAGTTCAACGACCGACCGGTAATCCCTCAGATTAACGGACTGTGAGAGTGGTACGTTTCCATCCGCCTATGTCTGCCGCTTGTCGCATATGTTCTGTTAGTATCCATTATTGTTGGAATCGCGCTGTCGGAAATAGCAGAACCCACTTATTCCATTTTTGAGCGTTGTGTTTTAATGTAGTGAGCTGTTTCAGGAGAGAATTGTTAACGCCGTAATGGAAGCATTAACGTCGCTGCAGAAATGTGTCACCAGTGACAGATCAGAAGGGATGTCAGGGCTTAGATACTGAGATTGTGTTACAGCTACTGTTTCATAACACGCTGGTACAAGATAAGGGGAGCAGTAGGGTTGCCCAGTGTATAAAGCGTTCGCTCGTCGTGCCGAAGACCCGGGTTCTATTCCCCATATGGGTACAATGTGTGAAGCCCATTTCTGGTGTCCCTCCCCGTGATATTGCTGGAATATTGCTAAAAGCGGCGTAAAAACAAACTATGTCACTCACTCACTACAAGAGAAGTGCTTCATCACATGTGGAATAGTAGTGAATGTGGATTTACGCCGCCTTTAGCAATATTCCAGCAATATCACGGCAGGGGACACCACAAATGGGCTTCACACATTGGGCTTCACACATACCCATGTGGGGAATCGAACCCGGGTCTTCAGTGTGACGAGCGGACGCTTTAACCACTAGCCCACTGCCCAGTTTCATCAGATGAGGTTAAGTTTACATCTACAGGGATACCAGTATGTATTGAAATAAAGTGTTTCAAGGTGATGGGAACATATATATAATTCTAGGACCAGAATAAGACTAAACTCACTCAAAATGTTTTAAAAGGGCAACAGGTTCAAAGAGGTTGAGGTGGTTCACACAAAGAGAAGAAACACGTCGATGATCCAGACTAGTCACCTGCGTTGGATTCGACCTGGTTAAGGCCTTTCTGCATAGCGAAACAGAATGCCAGCCTACCCTGTCGAGGGCCATGTGAATGGTAGAGGCTGTTTGGTTGGTTGGCTAGCGCCGCACTTAGCGGTCTGTAAATAATTGAATCCAGTGATCAACATCATGAGTATCGATCTACGCAATTGGGATACGATGACCACCCGATCCCGTTAGTCGCCCCTTTCGGCAAGCATGGGTTACTGAAGACCAAATATATCGCGGATCTTCACGGGTAGAATAGCAAAGGTAGTATGATAAGGTAAATATATGAACACCCAATTTAAGACATATTCATACGTTGACTATCTGAAAAATATGTTTTCAAGCAGTACAGTAAAAAAATGTCAAAGATATACGAAAGCAGGATCCGACTAAACCAATATAACAAACAACCACTTACTGACATATTCATCAACTGACTAACTGTTTACAGTAAACGTTTCACCCTTGTGCTAAAGCAGGATACAGCTCCAGCGGACTGGGATGACAGTAGTCTATCGCCCAGTCATGCTCAAGAACCATTACTGAACCTCTGGTGCTTCTATATGATGCGAGGCGGAGACACAGCCAAGTGGTTAAAGCGTTCGCTCGTCACTCCGAGGATCTGGCTTTGAGTCCAGACATGTATGAAGCCCATTTGTGGTGTCCCATCCTTGATATTGCTGAATTTTTCAAAAAAGCGACGTAAAATTCACTCTTTCACTATATCTGATGGTCCGAGGAAGGTAATTACGGATAGATGCTTAAACATTGAATCTCAAATGACCACTTCTTAAAATCTTTGCAGATAACCTCAAGCTGATTAGCATTTGATTCTCGTCATAGCAACGTTATTTTGAAAATCAATGCAGGAAGAGCTCAAGACACCTCTTGTACACTAACGCAACCTCTTCCAATGGGAGGACAATTTTAATACTAAGTACGTGTACACTGTACTGTTTGATACTAAGTACACTGTGCTGTTGTCACAGGACGACGCTGGAATCTCCGTTGCACGCTCTTGACCATAAAAGTAGCACACCTTCATTGTATATGGCTTGTCGACATTAATGACTCGGCAATTGAAAAGCAGTTAACCAACGTGATCATAAGGAGCTCGAACAATTCAATGTTCAACTGTTAGCCGTTGCACTCTAGTGAACACCAATGTTTAGTATCGACCGGTGATTTAACTTACTCATAATTGTTCATTTGAATGAAAATGTATATTTAGAAACTGTATGAATAGGTAAAAGTGATTTACAAAGGAAGCACCAGATTTGTATCACCAACGTAAATGCTCTCAAACTAGAAGCTTTGTGAGATGTAAATACCGAGAATGCTGTTGTGTTTACTAGTGAGGGTAATTCATAGGAAGAGGCTTGGGGAGAACTATTTCGGATTACAGTGAGTGAGTGAGTGAGTGAGTGGGATCAATATTTACGTCACATCACGGCGTAACAGGTTAATAAGGTAGGGAAATAAGCACTATGGCGAAACCTGTGACCACTGTTATGGTATTAACAAACCAAAAAACCATAATAGGGGCGAAGCAGGATTCGAACCTACAATCACAGACTTCTGAAGAGGCCAATCTACTCACCTCTGCACGGCGAATCGCAAGCCGATTGGGCCACCCGGCCTCCTTGCGTACTAGACACCACACAACATGGAAGTACAAAATACACATTGTGACATCGTCCCAGTCTTCTGTTTTGTACCGTTACGCCGAAGGCCCGGGTTCGATTCCCCACATGGGTACAATGTTTGAAGCCCATTTCTGGTGTCCCCCGCCGTGATGTTGCTGGAATATTGCTAAACGCGGCGTAAAACTATATTCACTCACTCACTCTGTTTTGTACGTCACCTCAAGCATCAGAGAAAGAGTTGGCGAAACAAAGATCAGGTAATCTAAGTCACATAGTTACTCGATTGCTTACATGTCATTGTAAGTCGATGAAGGAACGTACAATCTGTGTTTTGCCTGCCATCTACCCTATATTTACGTGCCACCGTAACACAGTTGAATTTTTTTCCGAGTGCGGCATCAAACAAAATTCAATTATTCTGCCACCTTGTTCATGTTATTTTCATAATTTTCCTTCGCTTCCAAGGTTTGCACATGTTTCCCCATAACATGAACATCAGCACCAGAAAATAACCATCCCGAGTATTCTCAGAATCAAGATTCCACTGGGAATAACGGTATTTTACATGACTTGGTTACAGAAAATCAGTGATGACAGGTTTGCGTCGAAGACTTACCTGCATTATGCGAATATTAATGCGTAAAAGCTATTCCCATTGCACATTCCTTCATTTATGTTGCCATTAATTTGTGGGAAGCGTGCCAAACACATCTGCATCCGTGGGGATGTCATTAAACCCACCTCCACGCCTATGATCTCTAACGAGAAGAATATGATGACTACAAAGATGTGGTTCATATGTTACCAGCTGTGAGGACCTGTCATGCTTCCATGGTGTGTATTTACATCGTGTATAGCGTCGTAAAGAAAACAGATGAGTAGAACCAGGCTCTGCTAGGGTTATTGGGTGCCACAAATATCACTGCAGTTTAAACCAGATTAATTAATATAGAGAATGAGTGAGTGAGTTTAGTTTTAAGCTGCTTTTAGCAATATTCCAGCAATAACACGGCGGGGACACCGGGAATGGGCTTCAAACATTATACACATGTGGGGAATCGAACTCGGGTTTTCGGCGTGACGAGTGAACGCTTTAACCACTAGGCTACCCCACCGACCCATAAAAGGGTTAAAGAACTGTATTGTAAAGATGTAACGTTTAATTGGATATTTAAACAAAGAACCGAAACAGCTCAGTCTTAAATTACAACTTAAAATTCCAACCAAAAAATCGGATATGGTTGATGTCATTGTTGAAGTGTAAGCCTATGGTATGCAAAATGGCAAAAAAAAGCCCAAACAAAATATACAAATCAGACACACTGAAACAAATATACAAATACCACACGGAGTTGTCTGTGTATCCAAACAGCCTGACGGCGTCGTATTTCGTTTCGTGTTTGTTTTGTTGTTTAGTGAATAAAGGTTATGGTATGAGTTCAAATTTGAACCACGTAAGTTTGAATATTTTCTGCTTGAAAATGCTTTGGAGAGCTATCGTCTAACCAAATGAAATGCGTAAATCGATAAATGCGATTACTTGAATATGTTAACAGAGAGTAACAGTAGCAATGTATTCCAAGATACGATACAGCACACTTAACGCACGAGTGACTACTGTTTGCAAGCTGCATCAGTTGAGAGAATGCATTACCATCCCAGCTTTGTATCGGCACGTCCCTGATAGTTGATATATTTGATATCCAAAGAAGCTCAATGTATAGTTTATCTCGGCAGACCTTTAATATTGAAGCAGCTTTAACGTGTGATATGACCTTTACACTCAGCTTGTTTCGAATTACGGATAATTCTATGTGTTCCAAAGCACCAGGAAGTCACGGGAGATGCATGCCTCATACATAACCAAGAAATACTGATCCCTCGCCCACACTCACTAGTTCATTATGAATAAAGTCCTCCACCTAAGGTATGAAATAACGACAATTTGTCATCTTCCCGGCAGACACTGCGCCGATAGATGTAATTACATTGTACTAGTCTATATGTCAGCAATGAGAAGCATTATCTGGTTAGTCCAAGATAGGGTACACATACGCTTGGGACTTTGTCCACGGAGCGATTTATTCTTTAAAATATAGTAATTCCCTTGACCCAAAAGTCATCAATATTTGATGGACGTGGAATGAAACAGTGCTACAAACATTTCCCTAGATATTCCTCTCACAAATATCGTCGAGCACAATACATTTGAATAAACGTAGACGAATTCAAGGATGTGTGTATAGAAGTAAAATATGTTTACCTTGCATCAAACATTTATAGAGAACAGTGGCGTGGAAATAAATACACTATACATGATGCAAGGATTTGCTGTATTTTTTTTGGAGCGGCTTAATCGGTTGACTCGCACTGTTCTGTAGGCATAGGTTGGTACAAGTGGTTTGGTGGTCCAAAGTACGCACTGCTCTGCAGTCCAAGGCATTGGCAAGTTTGTGGTTCAAGGCACATGTGGGTCGGCAGTCCAAAGCACGGGTAGGTCTGACGCCAAATACAGGGGTTAACGTTGTAGATCTGTAGATCCAGGCTTGGGTAGGCGTGCAGTCCAAGGAACGGATTATCTGTGGACTTAAGCACAGACGGATCCAATGCACAGGTAGATCTGTGACGCAAGTAATGGATAAATCTGTAGGTTTAATCTGTGGTCCATAGTACGGATCTATTTGTGGTCCAAGTACTACTGATTTGTCTGTTGTCCAATGCATAGGCAAATGTGTGATTCAAGGAATGGACGGGTCTGTAATCCCATGCGTTGGTTGGTCTGTGTTCCCATGCGTCGGCTGGTCTGTGTTCTGCGTTGGCTGGTCTGTGTTCTGCGTTGGCTGGTATGTGGTTCTGTTAAAGTTATGCAAGTCAAGCTGCATCACCTAGGTCACATGGCCGCTTTGCATTCAGATGTCATAAGAACACAACGACTGATGTGGATAAAAACTCCACCTTTCAAACCTTATCAGGAAGTGCAGATTAAATATAGTCAGTGAAGTTATGGAAACTGCACTTACATCATACAACTGTAAATAATTGAGTATAATCCAGGGATCCTGGCAGTTCCTAGCTAATCCACCACGGTTCACTAGATACACAATGCCCACATGATCGCCTAATTCTCATATAAGCTCGTCAAATGCATGGGGTACTTAAGACATATTTTTACAGAGGCCAATGTTATCACACTGAAGCAAAGGTGCACAAAGAGAGCAATGAGCGTCTACTTTCATATACAGCTGGAGTCGTGGAATGCTATTTTGAAAGTGAGTTTGTAATATAACACATGTTCAATAAACGCTCTTTAATTCTGAGACTAAAAATGCATTTATCAACCAAAACTGGCTTCCACGGGATACATCGCCTGGATGAGATCAAGCGACTATTGGTTACCATTACCATTACATTATATCACTGTATACCTGTCTGCCACTGAAGCTGTTTTGCTATACCGAGATGTAGACAGAGAGAGATGTATGGCCAAACAAATACCTGTGCCTCATCCACATCCGCTCGATCTAAGTGGATAGAATCAACCACCAAATGTATGATAAAACAGTTTGTTATTTGTTCCGGCGCAGACTCAACAAGTGGATGCTATGGGACCTGTAAATGAAGTTACGTCGTTACTGGACATGCAAGTACAATTCGTGTGGTCATCCCATCACGTTTTAACGGCAACGTCGGCATCAGTGCATACAGAACGTCTGAGTGATCATTATACCACGGCCAACCAGCATTCAAACACACTGTTCAGATACGTATAGCAAACAACATCGTTCTCATCACAACAACGCTTCACCTACAGTTCAAATTTACCGATATCCAAACCATTCGTTCGTGTTCAACCTCATCGCATTGCTGTTAGGAATGTGAAACCCTGAAGATAGCAATAATTAGACCCATTTACTTCATAAACGCCATTTGCCGTTGAACGTAATAGGGGTATTAATTCAGAAATGAACCGCCACCCACTGGATGAATTCCTCTACGAAAGTTGAGATCAGTTATTAAATAAAATGCAGTAATACAATAACAAGGCATAGTAGCCTTCTGTAATCCGATAACGGTACTGTGCGAACCCGTTATGTGTGGTCAAACATGTGCACGATGTGTAACGGAAGGAGCGCATAGGACAGTCTTATCCAATCAGATATGCAGCTCTCATAAATCATCATCGTGGTTGCGAGTAATTGCTGGGGCAATGCTTCTCGTGTAGCTGGAAACATGCACTTAAGGGATGAGCAGCTTCATATCACTAAGCTGGTGTTCGTCTGGAGAATTGACAGGAACCCGAAACCGTATTGTTGTCCTTTGGGACATGATTACTGTAACATGCGTGCTCGTTAACGCTTATTGAGTTTTGCTTTCAACCTCCAGGCTCGTTTTCACTATTCGAAAATTGTTGTCCAATATTTGACACTCGAGACTGCTTCAACACATGTCAACAGAATTATATTTGGATCTAATAAAGGATGTTTCACTGTTGCAGATATGAATGTTCAATGTTTAGTGTGTTCCTACAGGATTCATTTCGGCAGTCGTAACACATGTTGATTCATTGTCCCTAAAAACAATTCTTCGTTTGAGTGTTCGTGTATACCATTTGGAAGTTAACAATATCCCTAATTATACAGATACGGGCGAAGGGCGGTGGGGTAGCTTAGTGGTTAAAGCGTCGGCTCGTCACGCCTAAGACCCGGGTTCGAATCCCCACATGGGTACAATGTGTGAAGCCCATTTCTGGTGTCCCCCGCCTTGATGTTGCTGGAATATTGCTAAAAGCGGCGTAAAACCAAACTCAGTCAGTATACAGATACACTGTCATGTTCTCACATGGTATTAATAACAACGCCTAGACTCAATCAGAGCATTGGCACCACACTGTATGGCACAGTCTCCCTTTAACGTCGTATGCACACATTTCAATGTTAGATTCTGAATTGATTGTTGTTGGTGAATTGCTTTTCATATTGTTTTTGTTCGTTATTTCCTCGAGGAGGATGTCGGTTGGGGCCATGGATTAGGATTGCAATCATGATAATACTGGCTATTCATAAAGCGCCTGCTTCCACGCACTTGTTCCTGCTCAAAGCGCTAACGCATTACTACCCCGGAAAACCCAAGCTGCCTGTGAGGCGCTAGTACGTTACAGTCATATGACTTCTCACAGCGGGTACCTACTGACTGCTGGGTGAACAGAGGCAATTCATGAACAAAACAGTTTCACTTGCCTGAGGTGAGATCACATGTATCACATGTGCTTCATTATGGGGCAGGACTTCAGTCCTAGAAACTCTCAGGAGTCAAGCTGCCAAACACGGTCACCCATCCAAGGACTCCCCGCGCGTAACGTTGCTTAACTTCAACTGCTTTGTGACTTGGGATCTATGCATAGGACCACACACCACCACAATAACATGTCACAACTCTCAGATACGATTCGCAAGTGACGTGCACGTGAATGTTACGACTATAAAGTGCAATTCCTTGTGCCTCTTTCATATTAGATGACAAAGTGATTTAACAGATATCCAGATCCAACTCATACAAGCCAAATATACAACAAAAGGTCCTTGAACTCATTAGTCATCGGTACAGTGCGAACAAGTTAATGACACACGATCTCATGACCATTAGAGCTTCAAGCCTATCCAACAATACCCCACGTGTCAGGTAGAAGCCTATGTGGTATGCTTGTGAACCATCTCCTACCTGTCCCAGATTGGCCTCATAATCCACACGTATTGTAGCCATAGCTGTTAAAACTACACCATCTGTGAAGGGGAAATTATGTTCAGATTTTGTCCCCGAGTCGTGGTATAATCGTGCTTGACTAGAAGGCAGATATAACCCCGGACGATAAAGGGATTTGTTCCCATTGTTGCCAAAGCTTTCCATTTCAACAGGTGGTCACCTATCTCGACATACATTCAAATATATGAAACGTGTTTATCAGATGCTAAAGTGTGTCAAATTTCAGACTGCTCTATTCACGTATATTCCAACGGTTGATCCTTTTAATTAAATTGTGTATTTCAGATTGTAAGTTTAAAAAGTTGTTTTGTTACATATTAAATACGTTAATCCCTTTGGTAATATGTGACAGCTTGATCTATACTTAGGCAATATTTAGACTGTGCTTTTACTGCAGTCGGTATTAACATACATTTTTATGGCCAAATTGTATAATGGAGAGTTCTCTTTAGAAAGGATTATCTTGCCTAGTTTGTATCCTATCCTTTGTTGTGCAAAGTTTAGTTTGGGAAGGTTCATGATTAATGACCTTGTCATGCCATTACAGAAGAAGCTAACAGATCTTGTTCTTGTGACCTCCCCTTACACCTGTTAACTGTTAGATCGGCATTCTGGAAGTTGGTGAGTCATTAATGAAGCAAACAACTTTATGGATGACAACTTATTGCTATTGCGTAGAATGACCTTTAGCTTGATGAAGGTGTACGGATCCACACCGAAACGTCGCTCTATGCAATAAACAAGAATCTGTTATTCATAACGTTATTTTCATCATTGTCTCCATACACTGTATGGGGATTTATGCTTCATGGAATAATGGGTAATGCATCTAAGGATCATATAAGAACGTCGTCATTCGAGCATATTTCACCTCCCAGAAGCCGATTCCGTGGTGTAGTGATTAGAGCGTCCACTAGGAGAGCGGAAGATCGCGGGTTCGATCCCCGGCCAAGTCATACCAAAAGACGTTAAAATATGGTATTTGTTGGTCCCTGCCTGCCTGTAATGGGTACAACAAGGACTGGTCGGCTCGGAGTCTGAGTGGGGTATTCATGCTAGTCAGTGAGTTGGCACTATAGTCTGGGCTAGTACAAACAGCCACACATACAGACGCATGCACGTGGTCATATGAGCGAAATATTCTTAAGTACGACGTTAAACCCCATTTCACCTCACCTAACCTCACCTCACATCACCTCCAATCATTTTTAGGAGGATCTACACAAACATGATGCTGATCTTTAGAAGAACCGTTAAGCCGGACGCTTTTATTGGATTCTTCCAAATAAACAATCTAACCCTACGGCCAACTCCATCAGTTGTAATGGTGTTATAGATATGTCCAGCAATTAGAGGTTGAAATACATGATACTGGTCGTAACACCGTTTGTCTGTGCATTTGTGCCGTCCGTATAAGTACAATTGCTATATCCCTTCCGGCGACACAGAACCAATCAAGAAGATACACGAGTACCCAAGTGTGTGTTCAAGAGGATCAAGGTTAAAACTTGCTGTAGGGGAATTGTTCTAATCAAGACTGTAGTACGCAATAGTTTCATGTCCGCTGATGCAGAACGAGGCTGCTGAACCCAAGAGCAGGTATATACGAATCCCACTGGTTGAATGCTGATAATGCTCCATAATTTATATTAGTAATATGTTATTACTCAGTAAGGCGGTTGATGCAGGTTTAAACAAAAAATGAAAAGAAGAATAAAAGAAGACTAAAAAAATGTACAGTAAAAAAAGTAAGGCATATTATTTGTAGAGTGGGTAAGACGATTTCATGAATAATGAAACTATGTTCTGTAAATAACTAAAGTTGCTTTTTTTCCCTCGAAATTGATTTTCAGACATAAAAGCATAACGTTACATGTACTTGGGGAAATGAATAAAACTGGGATGAATTGTGACTTTGCTTCTGACTACATAAACAGTGGACGATAATGAGAAGCTTGGGATTTAACGTAATTTTGGTTTAATCCTTCGCGTTGATTGACATCCCACTGTGACGCAGGACAGGATCTTTTGCCAACCCTATCTGACAAAGGAAATAACATGAAAATGAAATTTATATCCTTCAGTTTGAGTTAGAATTAAACGCTTATTGTAACTATCTCTCGGTCATAATACGTGGTGTTGAGTGTTAAAGAAAAGCCTTTGGGGATACACGTTGTCGTCGTTTATAATGGAGAGAGCGTCGTCACAGAAGTGGGACATAACCTCCGTGGTGCAATAGATAGGGTGTTTGCCAGGGAAGCGGAAGGTCGGAATTCGATCCCTGGCCGCGACATGGCAAAAGACATAGAAAGTTACAAGATGCTAATTGTTGTTACCTTGCCTTGCGTTAGACGTATATGAAATAAGACGAGTCAGTATATTGTGTCTTACTGTGTTTTACATGTTAACACAGTTGCATGGAATCACCCTGCACCGGCGTTCGGTCGCACCAGCACATGTTGCATGACGTCGCTTTATAAGTGCAATGATCGTGAACGCGGCCGTGAGCCCATTTCACTCCACCTTACCTCACGTCCCAAAGGCTGACATCACCTCACCTCACTTCACCTCACCTCACTTCACCTCACCACACCTCACCTAACCTCACCTCATCACCTCAGCACGCGTCACCTCACCACACCTCACTTCACCTCAGATACGTGTGCCTACGTTTAATGAACGTCAGCCATTCATCGTATTCAGAACAGGTCCTTTTAAATAAATGTGCAGAAGGAGCGAATTAAGTGTTGAAGCCGTGTGCACTGGCGCTTCCACGAGTAGTTAAGTTGTTAACGACGTGTCAACCTAATTAATACAGGAGAAGGCACAGGAGGACGCAAGTTGTAGGCATTTGCCACTTTGACTAACCACAAAACTTGGGTACCGTCTCATCGGCTTTATCTCGACTGTTCAGCTAAAAATACTCCCATGGACTCAAGTCATCGAATGGTACACGATGACGTATTTTTATCAAGGAGAATCAGGGAGCAGCGGATCCTGCCACTACTAATGGACGTTAATCTGCACATCATAATAGCATTTTTCGACAATTTTATCTCATTATTAACATATCGTCATCTTTCTTTTTAACGGACAGTAATGACGAATCGACAGAGGCAATAAATCATATATTAAGAACAAGGACAAAAGAAACCAAGCAACTTACCTGTAAGTAGTGAATAGCCTTGCACATCTCGTGTCCGAGTGGCCAGTTGGTAGTAACATCAGAAATAACAGTAGGTGGCAGGCATATCAAGATAACCAAAAAGTCCGCTAGAGCCAGGTTGACTAGGAAAAGGTTCGTCGCAGAGCGCATCCGGTGGTTCCTCCATACCGCAAACCACACCAACAGGTTCCCCACAGTACCCATAACGAATACGCATGTTGACAGCAGGAGGATGATCCAGATGAAAGGCTTTGTCTGCCATGATTCTAGTTCAGAGTAGTCTTCTGTTGTGTTAATAGCAGAAGCATTGTAGGAATCCTGCGTTGAGTTCGGGTAGATCATTTCAATCACTTCATCGTAATGCTGTTTTCCGTGCATTTGGAATGATTTGCTTCGTTCTATTCCACGAACAAAAGAAATTCACCGGTCTCCAAATGATAAGTCAATATGGCCTTGCTATAAAACTATATGTATAACTTTTATAACAAATAATGCTTACCCATCAATGTTTGTTTAACGGACACGTACGTAACCATTTCAACAAACTTTGACAAGCATCGGTCCTTGACAAACACATAATTGATTTAAGAATCCAAAGAGGGACACGCAATCAAGCCTTCACACATACACGGTATTTGCTACAATACGGTAATAGTCCATGAGGTATTGACTGTTGGGCAGAACACTATCTAATAGAATGTACGCACTGCTCTCGCTGAAGCCTACACTGCTAATACGCTCGCTCAATACTGTTCTATGCAGACTGGCGCTTTATCATACATTACCCCAGCACCCAATGGATACAGTCGCCTTCTTCTGCTTCCTCAGATGCCGGGATGACGGTCTGGGGCTGTGATTGGTCCAATGAGGATGGATTTCATCGTGCTGGGATGGGACCAACGAGTGGGATTGAAAGTCGTGATATCTTCTTTGCCTTCTGTTACAACAAACTGGTTCGATAGGCTGCCCACAGGTGGTGAGAGCATAGAGGAGCCTGTATAAAGGATACGTTTATGTAATGATTGAATTGATCGGAATATGTGTTGCTTAAAAACTTATCCCCCACACATAACGGGAACGTGTTGGTCTTATTTTGCATAGAGCATGATTTGATCAATATGAACAACACGATTGTTTTGAACATGCGTGTTGCCGGAGCGAGGGGTGTGTGTTCCAATTTTGTTTTCATATTTAGGTCGCAAACAATTATTTTGCCTGAAATGTCTTCAATGAAATATAATGAGTTTGTTTATTACTTTTTTATTGTTAAGGTTCTGGTTTTGTTTCTCTTTTTTTCCAAACACTGTTGGGTTGGGTAACAGATGGGAGAAATATACAGCTTTCATACTGAGTATTCGATATATCACAAACACGTAATATGGCACAGATGGAGTAGCCTGCTCGAATAATCTACACACTACAAATACATATTGGAAAAGGGTCAATCGTATCCGAAATGTAGTTTGTAATGTGTTGATTCAGTTGGGGAGTGGCGTAATTTCCGTTTTGGTAATATTAAATGTGAAAAATAAGTTTCTTAGTACTTTTAATGTCAGATGCTGACATTATGTTTCTTAGTACTGGTAATGTTAAAAGCTGATATCATGCTTATTAGTACAGTTAATGAAAGTTGAGGATATCATATTTCTTAGTACTGGTAATGTAAGTTGTGGATATCATGTTTCCCAGTTCTGGTAATGTGAGTTGAGGATATCATGTTTCCCAGTACTGGTAATGTGAGTGGTGGATATCCTGTTTCCCAGTTCTGGTAATGTGAGTTGTGGATATCATGTTTCTTAGTACTGGTATTGTAAGATGCGGATAACATATTTCTAAATCTCTATCATATCAATAATCATCTTCTTTTTTCAAAATGAGCATCACAATATAACAACTACCATTTCCCACCGCAACATAACTGATAAAACCGCGGAACAACAGAAAATGATATCACGCCGACAACCAAATCTCTCAATGCCACAGAGCACAACACCACAACAAATTCACGCCACGCGTTTTAGCCTTGTTGTATGATTCAACAGAGATATGATAACAGTGGCCAACTCTGTGAAGAGAGTGGGTCAATGTTGCCGACAGCGTTATAGTGGAATTAACATAACCTCATGTCATAGATGGAAACCTATGTGAGTTAAATGTATGACACCATACGTCAATACATGTTCATTACGCAGTATATATCAATTAACTTTTCTCCAGCTGTTTCAACAGGGACAGTAGCCTACGGGTGTTCATGACAGGGTAATTATAACCAATGACGCTATATTACAGATGAAGGTAGCTGCACCTATTTGGTACTAGGGCGGCGATGGGGAAGCCTAATGGTTAAAGCGTCCGCTCGTCACGCTGAAGACTCGCGTTCGATCCTCCGCCGTCATATTGCTGAAATATTGCTAAAAGCGGCGTTAAACCTTACTTACTCACTCACACACTGGTACTAGGGTCGTTACCACTGTAAGCAGTTCTTCAATTGTGTTCGTTCGTCAATCTGAGTCTTCCCAGGGGAATATTATGTGGAACTAATTTAGTTAAGGAGTGATTTATTGTGGAAGGACCAAAATCATAATTATATAGAGCAATATAGAACTCTCTCACACACACTCACATACTCAGACACACACACACACACATACATACCACATACATGTACACCGTTGCAACGTTAAACATTATTTAGATTAAAGCGAACTTAATGACAATTATGCATGACTTGCCACCTCTTTGAAAAGTTCCTCCATTCCCGTCCCCTGCCCCCTAATCTCTCTCTTTAACTCCGCCCTCCCCTCTCACCGTCTCTCTCTCTCTCTCTCTCTCTCTCTCTCTCTCTCTCTCTCTCTCTCTCTCTCTCTCTCTCTCTCTCTCGTCCGTTGCCGTTCAGATTAACAAAACAAATACAGCAGTTAATTTCCACGAGTGTCAACAGCGCAGTGAGAGCGAGCCGTCATGACGCGGATACGGGCTTTACAAAGTCACAATGCCAGATCCTTTTCCCCCGCAATCTTTTCACATAAGAAATACCAGTCTACGTTACATCATTTATGTGTCAAATCCTTGACTAGAACGTCTTTGGCATCAATAGCAGTGGGAACTGAGCGTAGGTTTCCAAGTCTATTGACCAGGTCACAGACCCAGCAGCATTGTAGGAAACGTCTTCGACTGTGCAACGTTGGCAACATCGTAACTTCTGCTATTCAGTGATACAAACGGCCGAGATAGCTTCCATCACCATATCCCAAGATGTAACCAAGACGTCCCTATAGCGGCGCTTATAAGGTTTGACGGTCATTTCCTTGGAACAAAAGGCCCCTTTGGTCACCATACTGCGGACTCTGACAGTCCAGAGGTGCAAATATACAGTTACGCGATTACGGTCCTCTTTAGTTACAACAACAGGGGTTCATTTCGCAAGGGGACATTGTCAGACGTCACGACATCACGTAGGGCACGTTCTCTTTTCTACGCCAGTTTAGTTTGAGTAGAACGTGAATGATTGGTCGGGTGGTTTGTTGGCTAACGCCGCACTCAGCAGTATTCCAGATATATGGCGGCGGTCTGTAAATAATCAAGTCTGCACTAGACAATATAGTGATCAACAGCATGAACATCGATCTGCACAGTTAGGAAACGATGACATGTGCCAACCAAGTCAGCGAGCCTGATCACCCGATCCCGTTAGTCGCCTCTTACGACAAGCATGGGTTGCTGAAGATCAATTCTAGCCCGGACCTTCACGGGTAGAACGTGAATGAAAGCTGCATCAATACTGACATTGATCAGAGAAAACAATTTCCTTACAGTAACAACACACGCACGTACATTTACGTGGTGATCGAGGTGTAAACGTATTGGATGCTTATACCAGATAATAAGATGGGTTGTCAGAAGATGGATTAACTTTAAAAAATGACATCCAGATATAGACTGGATCAGAAACCAAAACCAACACCCGAACAGTTGCTTGTGAACCACGCAGTTCCTCTACGTATATGGGTAGGGAAGAAATCATTATTTTTGCGCTTCAGTAAAAGGTCGTCAAATCGCTCTGAGGCATTATCATCATTCATTTTCATTTTCCGCACTAACACGTTAACTCTCTAGTCTTGCTTCATTGCAACATCTGTGATCAAATTGGGGAATCTATGGGGCGTCTGGAGGCTGTTGACATGCTTCAAACTGCTACAACTCATACAAAAGTAGTCAGTACGTTCAATGTGTCTGAAAATGTGAATTGCAGACTTTGGAGTTGGTCAACGTACACCTTTTCGTCGCCAATCATTAACACAACGGGTCCTCCGTCATGTCTATGATCGATTAGTCAGAAACCAGGCTATAAGAAGTCGAGTAGATCGATGCTCAAGCTGTTGATCACTGGATTGTCTGATCCAGACTCGATTATTTACAGACCGCTGCCATGGAGTTGGAATATTGCTGAGTTTGGCGTTAAACACAAACAAACAAAACAAACAAATTTCAGGTCACAGGACGCTGACCAGACCGGGTGACCACCATGATAATGTAGCAACATAGTACATCGACTCTCCAACCAGATGTAACATTTGACCACTTTCTAAATAATAATAATAATAGGGATATTTATAAAGCGCCAGTGTCCACCCACGAATGCGTGCTCATGGCGCTGAGAACCTATGTACAAGGAGAAATGAAGAGTCACTAGAAGGCTTTAGTGAAGACAAAAAGTCTTAAGATTTTCTTGAAAGAATCAGTTGTTGCAGAAAGTTTTATGTGGAGTGGCAAAGAGTTCCATAGGAGTGGAGCAACATGCTAAACGGCACAATGTATTCATATTAAAACTAACCAGGTATCACAGTCCTTTTCAGCGTCAGAACTCTGGTATTCGATGGTCTTGAATGTTTCTCGAACATCATGCAAACGTGAGGCAAGAAAGAAATGTTTTCCCTTATCACGGTCATGACCCTCGTAGATAAAGTCATCTCAAGCGTCCTCCCATTTTTGACAACACACACTTGTCGTCTTTCTTGGGTATTTACATTGTCACAAAACACCACCAACATCTTTTATAAGTTGTTATGTCACATCTAGTGTTGTCTGTTTCTTATATCTGTTTTCGTCACGATATGGCTGAGATATTGCCGATGTGACGTTAAATAGTAACTCACTCACTCACTGTTTCTTACATCTGTTTACCATCACTCGATACATTTTTACAAACCGAATCCTATTTTCGAGATCATATGTTGTTTTCGAATATCACGTAAACTTCTCTGGAAAATATAAACCACCGACACCCCCACCCACCCACAGGAACCATGTCATGCTTCCCCTCAAAGCGTTATATATAAGCTTCACCTACACCGACAAATACATAATTTCAATAACCCATCCTTTCGCACGCCGCCCACTTCAGACCACGCCGTTTGACCCTCTAGGTAAGAAACAGCTGGGTACCAGTTAATTGTTGTTGTAACCGTAGAACGGTGAGTCTGTCGTGTTAGGTCAGCAAAATATATATCGATGCTTCTCGTAATTTTTCCTGAATTGACTGTGTATGGAGGGCGAATTCATGTAACTTTCCTTCAGCGGATTTCGAATTTAAAAATAAACTTAGTTTTGACGATGAACGGAAGCTCTGTAGAGGAAGAGACGGCTTGTGGTCGTAGCGACAAAATCTTGACATACTTCTTTTAATAGCTATTGAAATGGCTGTTTTTTAGTCGCTTGCATTTCATAGTAATGCCTTTGTTTTGGCCAATTTCTAATGTGCCCGTGATATTGCTGAAAGCGGCGTAAAACTAAACTCACTCACTCACTCACTCACTCACTAGTTGATAAAATACATATGCGTATGGTGCTCTGATATATGTATACATAGATGTACTTGATGTATTTGTCAATAGTGAGTGAGTGA